CCTGGTTTCTAGATTGAGCACTGGCTTGTGTGACAAATTGCTGATAATTTTGTTGCAGCCTCTTGTCAGGAAAGGTAAAGATGGCTGTGTATTTTCACAGGCAGGCCACTAGCATGTTACTTTAAGAACTGAAGTGAGGCTAATGCTTTCTGCTGTCAGTGAAGTCTTTCTCTTTTGCAGAGATGCATTTCTAGGCTGCCATAACCAGAAAGGAGTTGACCCTGTTTAGCTTGTGTAGTTGTCATCTGGCTTAATTCCTCCCCTGATTTCAATATCTTGTGCTAATTACATGGACATCTGCAAGAGAGGTGCTAGCTCAGAACAACTGTGAAAACACCTTAATATATGACGGAGTGTTTATTCCTTTTTGATTAACACAGCAGAAGGCTGTAATAATTATAATTCCAGCTTTAAATTCACAGCTTCTTATTGTATCATATGTCTAAGCCTCACTGTGCATTAACTACCTGGCTGCAGAAGCAGAGTCAAGAAGTATTTGAAATGAGAGGAGGCCTGTGTCTGCCAAGTGGAGGTGCTTCCAAGGTCTCATCTTTGCCCCTCTCTGCTCTTACCAGTGGATTGATTCACTTTGTTTCAGTTCACACTGTCCCCACCTCGCTCCCTGTCCCATGTAAATATTAAACAAGTAGGTCTAGGAGGAAAAATAGCTTAATGGGATAAAAAGTATCACCCCTGGGAAAAAAATAGAATAAATTCCACCTTGTGGAAAAAGAATCATACTAAAACAGAAGGAAGAAGACTTGGAGAGGGCAGTGACAGGCATCTGAGACGACCATCCCCTTCCCACCTCACAGGTCACCCTGTGTGCTGGAGCAGTGCAGGAGGGGAGATGGTGACAGCAATGATTAGTTACTGTCTCTGGTGTTCTGCTTGTTCTGCTTGCCAGTCTCCTGCTGTGGCCAGTCTGCCCTTCCATTTCAAATTCACACAGCTCTGTATGTTTGTGCTTGTTTCCCCCACAGCAGACACTCATAATGATGCTTGTACATCACTCTAATCTGACTCCTACTGATCTGTAAGGGGAAAGAATGTGCAGCAAAATGTTCACACGCTGCTGTTAGAGGATAGGCAACAGGTAGGGACCGGAGGCATGCCAGGTATCTGGTGCTATTAGAAACAGTTAGAGATAACAAATATGTCTTCTGGTATCAGTTCTGTCCTTCATCCGTGCTCAGCACTGCTGAGGAATATGCTGACTGTGTGTGCTTAGTTTCCTTCACAAGGCAGGAGCCAAACATATGTCTAGGAACAATTGCACCCTCCATCTGTGAGTGATCATCATACTTAAATACAGCAGCAGACCTGACTTTGGAGTGAAAAACAGAGCAGAACTCTTCCCCTGCCTGTGCTCAACAGTGCAGGCAGAGCAGGAGCAGGGAGGAGGGTGGCAGTGCAGACTTTTGGCTGCCTTAAAGTGACCACATCCTGTTAGGCTGTGGAAACATCAGACTAATGCAGAGATCTGTCTGAGAAGCAGGAGGGTTTGTAGGAAGGGATTCAGCAGATGATTTGCAGACATGTTTGTATTGCTGCAGGAGGAACAGGGTGCAGGGAGAACTCCTGAACTTGCTCTTTTGTATAGGCTGTTCACCCATTTCCTACCCATGTCCCAGCTCACTACAGCATGTATATACAGTAAAATGGGTTTATTTCAATGAGATTGCTTTCTTCCCTGATAGCACATGGGAAGTGATTAACTCTTAACACTTAGTCTGTGGTGGCAGAGTAATGCTCAGAGCAGTGGCCAGTGGCCTTTACCTGAAATCCTTCCCCAGCTGATGCCTTGAGACTTAAGGCATCACAGCCATGCCAGAGGGTGTTCCTCACAAAGCAGGAGAATTTCCTTCTACAGGCAGCAAGCCAAGCAGCATGAGGAACAAGCACCAAGAGAAACAAGCATCATGCAGGAACACTGTGGCATGAGAGAGAATTAATGGGGAGTCTCTCAAGTCCTAAGCCAATACCCAAATGAAGACTTGCACTACTACCCCATATGAAAATGACAGGTGAGATCTTAACCAAAGGCTGATCATTTATGATGATGATGCAGTTCTGTTGAAATCACATGCCTAGATCTCAGTGTGCCTGGGAGTCCTGTTGAGTCCAAGTGAGCATAAGAATGCTAAGAGGCTTTCCTGACACAAAATCTAAGTGAGGAAGCATCTCATATGTGTATGACTGCTGATAGCAAATGGCTAAACAATCCAGTTTTGATGAAACTGAAGGAACTTTGGTCTTTCTGGGGACAAAATGAAAAGGTGAAAAAAAGAAAAAGCAGATATTTATGGTGCTGGGCCCATACTCTATAAAACATAATTGTGTTGTGGACAGAAGATCAAGAAATCTAAGTGTGGGCAGCTGCAGCATATTTGGGGCAGTTCTGTTCTTCCTTTCTGTTGGACAGAAATTGCTTAAGTGCTAAAGTTCAAACTTTCATGTTCCTATTTTGCTTTTTAAAATATGCAATAGGGGGTTGTGTTTCACAGACTTCAACTGGATGCACAGAACCCTCTTTCGATTGGGAATGGGTCAGCAAGGAACAAATGCATCCACTGTCCTTAGAGGGTTTCTTTCCAATTCCCTGTCAAAGGCCCAGTGTAGCCTAGGGCTTTTTCCTTTCCAAATACAGGTTCAATCCAAGATGACAGTACCTGGTGAGCTCAAGTGTATTTTCATTAAGGATGTTGCACGCTTGTTTTGATGGTACTTGTTAATCTCTCAGTATGGAAAGTGAACATTAGTGTTGCAGGCCATGACCATTATTTGAAAAGTTAGCTACTAGCTTTGTGACTCTTCTTCTTCCAAAAAAGGGCAGCTGAGCATTTGGCATAATTTCACATGAAAATGTGTCATGGAATTAGTTATGTACCAGCCTGGGCTAAGAAGTTGTTGAGTAAAATAGCTCAGAAAAGCTTTTGTTGATTGTGCATGACTGGAACATAGTTGTTTGTGCTGTTTTGTGAACAGGAGAGGAGGACATTGTACTTTCAGAGAAATCTTGGACTCCTTTACTGTGTGGGTAATGACTGTAACACTGGGACTACTCTTGGCAGTTCATGCAAATGATCCTTTAAATGGGAAGTAAATAAAATTGTGAGGATCTCTGTAAACTGAGAGCTGTCTGGTTAATATGGGATGTGAACACTTCCTGCAGTTCTGCATGTCCCCGGGGGCCTTTCCAAGGAGTGGCATTGTACGTGGTTGGTCCTCCTAGAAACCATCCTGGGGGGGCTGGGAAAGAGGAGCTGGCAGGAGACTCTGCTTGTTGGGAAAAAAACTTGAGAAAAATATTATAACACTGTCATGACCCATCTCCTCTATGATCACTAGCTCACATCTAGTCCAGTTATTGACTCCCAAGCAGCTGGGCTCCTACTGTGCTGTAGATTTCATTCTGATGATTTATCTCCCTGGCAGGAGTGTCAGTGGTCCCAAAGAAGGTACAAGGATTTGTACCAGATTTTTGGATCAGAAAGTGAGGGGAGCAAAGAACAAATCTGAAAAATAATTTTCCTTATGTATCCACCAAGTTTAACTGCAGGGAGAAAGCTATAGTGAATGCTAGTTCATTGGAAATAGGCCTTTATAATAGGCCTTTCTTATAATGCTGAAAATTCCCTCCATTTTCCCCTCTTTTTTTTTTTTTTTTAACTTCTGCTTACTTCTGACTTTGGTGTGGTGAGTGTGTTGAGTGGACTGTCAAAACTGAATTTCTAGCCTGAATTGGTGGGACACAGAAAGTACTGGATTGTCTCACTGGGTTTTTGTTGTTGTTGGTTTTTTTTCCTTTAAAAGACTAATTTATATTAAAACTATTTTACCATTAAGACCCCTTTAAATTAGTTGGAGTCAAAACATGTTGTAAATTGTGTGATATTTTTAATCCCCACTTACCATGGTGCCTCAAAAGCCTGAAATCACCATCTGCTTCCTTGCTGAATTGATTTTCTTTATAGAAGACACTTCCCTTTTTTTAACTACTTAGATTCACCTCATTCTGTAATTAAGGGTTGAAAAGCCATAAATCACTGTCATATTGGATGTGTTGCAGCGTATGGGAGTTCCTTACTGCAGAATCTAACTTGTGAGAAAATACCTGGCCTTTGTGTGACTTGGAGGAGGGGAAGAGGGAATCTTCAGCCCTTTGCTCTTCAGTTACATGTCCTTGGAAAAAATGTAATTACCCTCATTACCTTCAGCCTGTGCGTAACTCCTGTTGCTGTGCATTGTACCAATGATTTTAATCAAATCACATGCTTCAGGGATTCAGCTTGTCAACTCTGAGGGGTAAGAAAGAATGCAAATTTACCCCTTCATGCATTTTTTCTTTTTCTCTTCCCCCCCTTGCCAGCCCCTGGCCTCGCATGCCTGGCTGTGTGCTGGCGCTCGAGTCACACTGACAGCCAGCGCTGAGGGTGGAACTGAAGATCCCCCAGGTCGGCTCAACAAGAACAGTGTTCAATTTCATGTTCATTTTCATGTTCATTTTCTCTACAGCATGAGGCAGGGACTCTGGGGCTAGTTTGTTTGCTTATTAAAAGGTATTTATAATTTAGCATGTTAGTTTTTGAAAAATTAATATATTGAGTAGGAAGAGATCTGGACTGTCAGGAGTTACCAGATTTTTCAAGATAGCTACTACAAAAAGACGTAAAAAAACCCCAAAAGACTCCTGTCAAACAGTTGTGTCTGTGTGATGGGATTTAACAAATACATTTGCAAGCACACATGGAAGGAAGGGGGAGGTTAAGGGTTCGGTTTCTCCTTCTACCCGGTTTGGGGACCGCACGTTCGCCGCTTTCCCTCAGCGCGGTGGGGACAAGCGCGGCCCCTCAGAGCTCGGCCCTCAGGGCAGCCCCTGCGGCGGGGAAAGGGCGCCCGGCCCGAGGGCAGCGCCGTGTCCCTGAGGGGCCGCGGCTGCTCCCGCTCCCGTGGGGTCTCCCCGGCGTGCAGCAGGTGCCCGGGTCCCCGGCCGGGGCGCGGGGCCCGTCGCGGGAGCTGCATGTGCGCGGGAGCCGCGGCGGAGGATGGCCGTGCTCAAGCTCGCCGACCAGGTGGGCGCCGCGGGGCGGGCGGGAGCGGGCGGCGGGCTCAGCCTCAGCCGCAGTCCCCGCGGCGGTGCGGGCGGCCGGGGAGGCCCTTCCTCTGCCGGGGGCGGCCGTGGAAGCCCCTTCGCGGCGGGCGCCGTGTGGTGCCGGTCCTGGCTGTCCGCCGAGCCGCCGCCGGTGCGCTTCTCTTGGCTGCCCGGCGGACATTGTCTGTGTGCGGCGGGCCGGGGCTCGGGCAGGGCGCAGCTCGCCGGGGCAGCGCAGCCGGTACCGGGCGCTCGGCCGTCCCCGCCGAGCTGCCGCCCCGCGGCCCCCGGTGAAACCCTGACATCTCCCGTCGGCGGGGTGGGATGGAGGTGGGTGTCGGCCTATCGTTCCTTTGGCTTTTTCCATCGTTTCATTGCCGTGCCATACGTAGAAATAATTTTTCCCTTTTACTTAGGAAGTGTCTCATCGGATAAGCTGTTGCCGTTCTTCAGAGGCTAGTAGGAAAACCCGTAGTATTAACACTTGGATCGTGTTAAATTTAGCAGTGGACAGACAGCTGTTATCAGTATTAAAGTATTTCTTATCACTGGTAGCTAGAAGCATTTATAAATATTTAGTAAATTGATATTATGACTCCCACATCCTGGTTTATCCATATACTCTACCAACTGTTACACACTTTGTGTGCTTTAATCTGCTATTTTTAATTCGGCGTGGTCTGCCTGTGATCTGCAGCGTGGGTGTCCTGCAAGCCTCAGACCCTTCCTGTGGGGTTCAGAAGGACTGCCTGCAGCCAGCCCCTCTCCAGATACCCGTACTTGGAGATCACAAGCCTCGCTCACAGTCTATTTATGCTTTTCCAAAAAAATCTTCCACATAGCACATTGGAAAGAGTTTTGAAAGCAGCAAATGATAAGGCTGCTTCTAAAGTGAAAGCAATACTGGGGGACCAGCCTATAATGTGTTTTCATGTGTAACAGTAGGCAGTATTTATGGGCTGCCTCCTGACATGTCCCTTGAATATCCTCATCTTTAGATCTGATGCTTATGACTGGCAATGAAAATGTTTCACACCATGAGGCTTCACTACCCCATGGTGCACAGACAGAGTGTCACAAGTAAGGAGATTCAGGTAGGAGCTGTGTGTTAGATATCCAAACAACAAGCATTAATATAAAAAATACATGTGTTACAAAGGACTAAAATTGTACCATTTCAGTACTTTTTACATGTTTAGTGAAGCCCTTGAAATTACTGCCTTTAGTATTTTTAAATCTTTGCTGACATCTTAAAGCGAGAATTTTGCTTCAACAGCAGCAGTAGAAGTCAAAATATATTTAAGTCAAGTAGATTGCATCTTGGTGAAGTCTGTAGTGCTGTAGAAAAATGATAGGCTGTTGTCTTAGGGTTCTCCCTTTTCCTCTTCTCTAAGAACTCTCAGAGCAGAGGGAGGAGGCTCCTCAGAGCTGCTGTGACACCCCTGCAGTGTGCCTACTTTGAGAATGCACAAAATTTTGGTGAATGCTCGTCATTGTTCCAGGTCAGGCTGTGGCCTGGGACGTGATAAGACAGGCTGATAATTTTTCTTTGTGGACATGGGTTTCCTGTTGTTTATAGAGGGATATGTTGGTCTACCTGTACCCATCCTACTGGGTCTCTTTTCATTTCCTTAATTTTCTGCAACAGATCTTTTTCTTTCACTTCTGAGAGAGTGGAGGAGGGGGAGGGCATGTTCAAAGCTGGCTGTGGTGCTTCCTCTTCAACTGAGAGCAGAAGTGTTTGTGTGCTTGGAGCTGTTGCTGGTGGAGCCATTGCCACCTGGAGCCCGAGCAGTGTCACCAAGGCACCGGGGCTGCTCTGCTGCAGCTCTGTGTGCATCAGGGCAAGCTCTGTTTCTCTTCTGGATCACACTGGAGGAGTGCTGTCCCCAGGCTGGCCCACCTTCAGCAGAGGGACACGCAGTAGCAGCAGCCTCCTGTGGTTATAGATAGTCAGAAGAGAGGTGGAAAAATTATGTGTCTGGGAAGATTTGCATTTCTGTAACAACTCCAGCATGTCCTCAGGCTCACGGGGGTTGTGGGAGCAGGCTCCTTCTGCATTTCTTCCTGCTCTTGAAGATTGAGGCAACTGTGACAGTGATAACTTGCAGCGATTCAGGAAATGGTTTCCTTTTTCTTAAACACCAAAGGCCACAGCTCACAATGTCCTGCAGTGAGATTTGGAGTATGAGGGACACTCCATGCATCCCTGCAGTGGTCAGGACCTGGGCTGCTGAGAGTGAGTGTGGGCTGCTGTTTGTGCACTGAGCGTGAGATGCTTCAGGCCCGAGCTGTGATGCTCAGGGAAGGTTGACTCTGAAACCAAGAGCTCTCTCTGTGCCTGTCATTGGGATTCCTGTAGCACATGCTTCCTTCTGGATCCACAGCTTTTTTGACCAGTGAGGAGAGCATCATGTAGGAGATGACTAGAGAACCTCCCTGCTGGGAGCTTAAACATTTCTTTCTCTTTAGTGATGTGTTTCCTCCTTGGCCTCCATGCTTGGCTTTTCTTACCAAGTGTATCCTACAGCACAGGTAGTATTCAGGCAGATGAGAAATTAATCACACCACTTCTCATACAGGCTTTGAGGACAGATGTTAATAGTTACTGCTTTTTGATATAGCTGAAAGGTGCCAAAGTGCTGCTACACTTAAACCTTAAAAGAGATTATCAGCTCTTTTAGCTGCATTCACTTGTTAGGCAGGAGAGCTTAGTTTAAGAGTTTAGCATTAGTGTAGGTTACTTGAATTTGCTTCCAGAGATGGTAATTATTAGCTCATCAGTTGAGCCAAGAGAAACCTGTAAGTGGTTTAACCACAGGAAGTGTATTCTACCATCGCTCGTTTCTAGATTAATTTCTTTCAGGCATGTAACTAGTCACTTTTGAGTGACTAAATGTTAAGAAGAAAACAAGCTGAAATAATTCATAAAACTAACTAATTCATAGGATTACAGTCTTTGTGTAGTTGTGTCTGTGCATTTGTAAACATTCTGATATTCTAAATACTTCTGTTGTCATATACAAATATTGCAAAACTTGCTTTAAATCTTAACACATTTATCTGGTCCTTTTTAAACTATCTCTGCTGTGAGATAGTTAATTACAGCAAGTGTGCAAGTTGTTTTAAGGACTGAAAAAACCTTTTTTTCTTTTCAATTCTGAGAGTTATTGCTGTACTGTTGCCTATCCAAGTCATTGGCTGTACCTTTTCCATTTCAATAAGCATTAGTATTTTTGTATTGTGTGATGGTACCCTTGTTTATGATAAAAGGTTGCAATTAAGCTAGATTCAGAAGGAGCAGAAGACAAGTGCTCCAACAAGTAAGAGCCAAAGGCTTTCAGGTGTGAGTGTGCTCTCAAAGGGTGAAGGTACTGATCTGCTTGTGACTTTCATGGCTGCTTTTGAGCAGCAGTTGTTGCCTGGACCCACCTCTCTCATCCTTTGAGTAATCCACAGATGCAGGGTGGATGCTATATGTAAACTTCTGCCATTCACATTTTGGAAAATTACTTTGGAAGAACCTAAAATTTCTGTAGTGTCTCCATCTCATTTTCAGTTTTGCCTTGCCAGTTGTGGCCTTCCTTGCAGAGTTGCCAGCTCTGCCCTGGTTCTGCAGGTTGTCTCTTTAGCTAACTCTGTCATCTCCTTTCTGTTTAAAGCCAGCAAAGTCGCTCTGTGCACGGCTGTTTGAGTTGGGATGCCAGCTCTGCCTTCACCTCCGTGGCACAAATGTGCCCATTGTGCCTGTGAGAGCGGGGTGTGCGTGGGACATGCATTGCTGCCTGTCAGAGGCTGAGGCAAGCTCCACTGCCTGTTTTTGGTTGTAGCTGTGCCTGTTTGCAGAGGAAATGTACCACTCTGTCTTTGAAAGACACTGAGAAAGTTTTGTGTAAACAAAAATAAAATGGGAACTTACCTAGGGAAGTGCAGCCTGTGTGGCTGCTTGTAAGAGATGTAGTGCTTGGTGGTTTCCTGCCAGATTCAGTGAGAAGCTTGGTGTGAATCTGAGACAGACACAGGCTCTAGCTAGCCTTGGGCCAGTGCATCAGGAGGGTCATGGTTTTCTGTGGCTTCAGCGTCACCAGCCCAGGCCCTGTGTGTACAAAAGAACAGCATTACTTTTGGGCTGCCCTCACAAGCATGCATATGCATGCATAAGGGTAATGGAGCCCAGATGAATGGTGGTGTGTGTGCTCAGGCTGCTATTAACTGCAAGCCCTCATCCTGTCTCCTGCTATTTTGCCTGTTGTCCTTGATTGCTGAGGGTAATGCAGTGTGACTAGAACTGAAAGGACCATTTCTCTCCCTTTCCCAAATGTTTTCCTGTGTTTGACAGTTCTTTGCTGACCATCAGGATCCTTTTTATTATGGTCACAGAGAAAGCATTAAACAGATGTTTAAATAATTTTAAACAGATGTCAAAGATCATAAAAATCTGCTGGGCAAAGGCTGGACTTGTGTCTGAACATACTTAAAACCAAAATGAACACAACAGTAACAAATAGTCTCCTAACAAAGCCAATTACATTTCCAAATGATGGTGTGTCTAACTTATTTCAGAATCATTCAATTGACAGTAATGTCTTTCTGTGTATCCTTTCTCTGTGACATGTAAAAGCATCTGAGCAAATGCCCCTGAATCTACTGTATAACATAGGAGTAATGAACCTGTGCCCCATGCCCACAGGCAGCCCACAAGTTAATTTGGTGTGGCATGTGATGCCATGATTCCTCCCCTCCTCATATTATGACTAGATAATACTAAGGTGTGTATATTAATTTGCAGTCTTCTAAGTGGTTTTGAAAGGGCTCACAGCCAGAAAGAGATAATCCATTTTAGTACAAAATACTCAGCCACACAACTAAGGTAATTGTGGGGAAGGAAGGAGGAGGAATTTACCCACAGGAGTGTGTCTCTATTATTTTGTGTGAAATGAAAATGTGGTTGGACCAAAATAACTCCACTGTGGCTGCCAC